CATATTAGTAAAACAAGAGAAAATACAATTAAATCCAATAAAAATTTAACAACATGGATACAAAAAATATATTTGAGAAGTATAAAGAAAAATGAAAGAAATAAACTTATGTCCAACTAGTTAACTTTTGAAAGTTTTACTGAAAAATTGAAGAGAACAATACAAAAAGAAAGAGGAAGAGTTGAGAAAGGTGATAAGAAAAAGGGATGAAAGGGATTGGAAGAGAGGGGTAACAAAGAGATGAGGGAAAGAAGAGAAAATAGGACAAAGAGAGAAAGAATAGAGGGGAACCAAAGAGAAAATGGAGAAGGGGAGAAAGAAAACTGAGAAAAGGCACAAAACAAGATTTTGCAAAACAGGCAGCAGAAGATAATATATATAGGCAAATTTATCTCAGACCATAAACGGTCCGAAATATATTCAATAAGATGCTGCCGTGCGCACCAAAACTTTCAAACATTCTTGAAATATTTGGCGGTTTTTTATTTCAGACCAACATTGGTCCAGATAATGCAAAAATTTTACATTCAACATTCAATTACTATTGGCAAAAAAGGGCGATAAAGTATTCGGACCAACTTTGGTCCGTATACATATCAAATTAAAAAGGCTCGAATCAACTTAAAAAAAGATATAAAATATTTAAAAAAATGTTTAAATATTCGGACCAATGTTGGTCTGAATACGTTTTCCAGACCAACATTGGTTCGAATATCTTGCACAGTTTACTCTTTTTTTTTTTTTTTCTTGACACCTTAAATCGTTGTACTCTCACATGAACAACAACATTTAAAGGCCTTGAATAGTTTAGAACCTATTTTTAAAACTAACAATAATAATCCAAAGGGTATATGGTTTTGTAACGGTGTGGCATAAATATAAAGTTAATAATCTTAACTCCTCATGTTTAAGATTTTACAATGATGTTGCCTTACATCACAAAAAACCAATTTCAGGTGCTTGACTGATGGTGCCCGGGTTATGAGTGACTATGATGGTTTAGTGTGTGCACATGGCTTCGGCAGAAATGGAATCGGGGCTTGAGAAAACCTAGTTGTACTTAAATGAAAAGAATAAAAAAGTCTTAGAAGAGAAACTTCTAGACTTTGCTGGGGTTATTCGAACCAATGTTGATCTGAATATTGTTTTCCAGACCAAAGTTGGTCTGAATATCGTCCCAAGTGTACCTTGTTTTTTGTTTTGTTTGACACTTTAAACCGTACGTGATCCATTGTAACCTCTCATCAACAACAACATTTAAAGGCCTTGAATAGCTTAGAACTTATTTTTAAAACTAACAATAATAATCCAAAGGGTATATGGTTTCGTAACAGTGTGGCATAAGTATAAAGTTAATAATCTTAACTCCTCGCATTTAATATTTTACAATGATGTTGCCTTACATCACAAAAAACCAATTTTAGGTGCTTGACTGATGGTGCTGGGGTTATGAGTGACTATGGTGGTTTAGTGTGTGCACATGGTTTCGGTAGAAATGGAATCGGGGCTCGGGAAAACCTAGTTGTACTTAAATGAAAAGAATGAAAAAGTCTTAGAAGAGAAGTTTCTAGATTATGTGGGGGTTATTCGGACCAATGTTGGTCTGAATATTGTTTTCTAGACCAAAGTTGGTCCGAATATCATCCCAAGTGTA